GTCGATAATTTTTTTAGATACAACTATAGGATTTGATTACTACATCAATTAAGAACTCCATTCCTTAATTAAAAAGGGGTATCATTTCATTTTGGTAATTTCATTTTTAAGTTTAAATTATTACTTTTAAATTTTTGTTTTGATTTTTTGTTAATATTAGTACTTTGGATGTTATTATATTAGGATAGTTGCCTTGATTTTTTATTTTTATATTTTTAAAATTTTTATTCTCATTACATGATTATACATAACCAAACATCAATATGACAATATTGGTAATCATTTGATTTCATTTGTTTAGCGAAAATTATATAAAAATAATAATAAATGACAGCACAACGCAAACGGACAGACGTTGACTTGAAAAGTAAAGTCATGAAAGGTTTTGCTCTCCCGTTTCCACGAAATTTTCCGAAATTGATTGTAGTATGATCATAATCAATTTCTCTTTTTTCAAAAACTTATATGAAATAGTCTCACAAATTTTTATTCGTGAGACATATTCAAGATAAAATGTAATATTTATACTAAAAATATAATATTAATAAAGAATAAAATTTTTATTATTTATATAAAAATATATAATACTTCTAAAGAAAAATATAATATTTTTACATTTTGATTAGAAAGTATTATATTTTCTCTTCAAAAGTATTATATTTTTTCCTCAAAGTATTATATTTTCCCAACAAACACTTGGCAACATTACTTATAAAGAAAAATGTAATATTTTTTTTAATGAAAAAAGGAATACTTTTACATCAAAATGTAAAAGTATTACATTTTCTTTTATAATTAACGATCACTTTATTTATAATTAGTAGAGTAAAAGACATTTTTGGTCCTAGACTTATAGTGGCTTGGACAATTTTAGTCCTTTATAAAAAAAAATTGCCATTTTATGGACAGAATTATTGTGGTGAGGACATTTTTGGTCCTCCGTCTATATTTCTATTAGATAACCGTATGAGAGAGGGGCAATTACATCAATTTAGGCTATCTCCTTCTGTCTATTATATCTATGTGTGTTTGGCGGCTTCGATTCTCCTTTTATCTATTTGATTAGTAACCTGTTTGGCGGCTTCGATTCTCCGGCAATTTCTTCGTACAACTGCAACTTGGACTCTCCGACTCCTTCGAATTATGACCGAGAAGAAAACAAAACACACATAGATATAATAGATAGAAGGAGATAGCCTAAATTAACGTAATTACCCCTCTCTCAGACGGTTATCTAACAGAAATATAGACGGAGGACCAAAAATGTCCTCGCCACAATAACTCTGTCCATAAAATGGCAAATTTTTTTATAAAGGACTAAAATTGTCCAAGCCACTATAAATTTAGGACCAAAAATGTCTTTTACTCTAATTAGTATTACATTTTTCAGTATAAGTATTATATTTTTATATTGATCCTATCCGACCTGTCTTAAGAATAAAGATATGTAAGACGGTCTCACATAAGTGTGACCCAAATTTTTTAGCAATATTATCATTAATACCTTATAGAGTTATTTTATGAAATGGTCTCTTGACTTTTGAAATTTATCAATTTTGTATAATTGGCTTTCAATTTGACCATACTTTGTTAATTTCACTTTTGGTCTTATGATTATTGAGGTGTTGTCAATTTCAGTTCATAACTTTCAAAACTAACAATTTAGTACCTTAATTATTAAATTCTTATCAATTTTAGTCAGTACGACCAAATTGACGGCCAATTGTCACTAGAATTTTAGTCAAGTTTAATTTTCTATAGCTTAGCTAGGGAAGTTGTTTCTATGTCAGATTGTAAGGATATCGAGCTTTGTTGTAAACATTCCTATTTATGATTAATGAATTATTGTTGTATCAAAAAAAAAAATGTCAATGAAAAAAATTTGTAAAGATTAATAGATAAGATATAATCACATTTATTGTTTAATTAAAAGTCGAGGATAAAAATTGGTAAATGTCAATAGTTAAGGAATCATTTTTAGAATTAAGTCCAACCTTATATATACCATTAATATTAGAATTATATATGCAAATATCTAATATTTTTCTTTTGTCCATTTTTATATCTACAGAAAAAACCTGCAGTCGCTCTAGCTTAAATCAAAAATGCCAACGGCCAGTTCTTATAAGTTAAACTTGAAACGTTATGATTATATAGCCAACTGTTTGACCAAGTTGGTTGGGGATTGAAACCCTTTTGTCCTTTTTACATGTTGTGCTTACTTTTTGATTGCTAGGAATGCCAATCTTAACTCAAAGCATATAAGATGGACCGGTAATATAAAAAATAAAAAATAAAAATAAAAAAGTTAAGGACTAAGATAAAAGTTTCTAGCCTAATAAAAAAATCAGCTCAATTAATTTAAAACTGACAAGTCCAATTGGTTGAACGAGCTAACTTGATACTCAAGACTACTCTTTGCTTCACAAGTGATATTAAACAAACTATATGGAGGAACTTGTACATAAGCTCTTAAAAAAAATTAAAAAAAATAAAAAAAAAAACTTAGGTACAAGCTTCTCATAAACTCCTTTTTGGTACTACTTTTTTCTTATAACTTTTTAAATAATATTTTAATAAAATATTTTTATGAAAATATATAATGAGAAATGAAAATTTTATTATAAGTATTATTATATTATAAGTGTAAATAAATTGTCAAAGGCTTTATGGTTGAGCGGCATAGCTATGACATTATGTGGAATCGTATCATTTGTCCACCGTACCAGTAAAGACTCTACACCAACATTTAGATACATTAGTTATGGTCCATAGAAAAATTTGCCATCTATCTCAGTCCATACTTGGGACCGAAGACTTTGTCCACGGTTTGTCGATTCCAGGCAGACTTTGAGATGGAAGACCAAGGACTTATAAGTTTACTGGCCAAAGTCTAGGAAAGCCTGGAATTCCAATCATATTTCATTAATTACCAAAAACAATTATGTTTTCTCTCTTAAAATGATTCTCAATAAATATTAATCATTGAAAATACAATAAAAATGGTATCTCAAATTCAAAGGAAGAGCCAATAATCCCACTAGTTGAAGTCTATTTTCTTGGCATCAAGTAGTTCTTTTCCACCATGCACTACCCTCTCAACAATATTATCAATGACCGTGTTTGGTAAAATAGTTAGCTTATCAATCAATTTTGATTTATTTTATCACTATTAACTGTTTAACTTGATTAAACATTCAATCTGAGTACTTGATTAATTAGTTTTTTGTAACAATTTATTATTCCAAAATGCTAAAACTCAAAAAACTGTTCAAAGTCATTTTTCATGTAATCAATTATCAACTAACAACTAATTCATCAAACACTTTTTTACAATCAGCTAATTATCAAACCCACTAACCTAATCAGCTAACGACTATTTACCAAACACCACAAAAAAATCTATACATATAACTTTTAATGTTGTGATTGTGAAGTTTAAAGCTAAAGAATATTGCCACTGGCGCAGGTAAGACTTTAAAGTAATATACATCAATCCAAATTAAACGCGTAAAACCTTATCGCGAAATTCAACCTTCTATTAACAGATGATTATCTTTCATTGTCATTTGATTGATTATATGAATACAAAGAAACTTCTTTGTTAAGTTCTTAAGTTTATAGATATCTCTAAAAGAGAAAATGTTTTTATTTAATTTTCATAATTAAGTATAGAGATATCCTTATAAAAAAAATTGTATCATGCGTTCAATTATAAGATTTGTTAAAGATTTATTTTCACTTTTGATCACACAACTATTAGTTCAGTTTCACATTAATTAGATAACAAGTATTAGTGTGGGTTCTTTTTTTTTTTTGAAAAGAGCATGTGCGGCATTTATTGAAAATACGTTGAAATAGAGTCTGGCGGGCTAGAGTCCGAATACATAACAGCTGAGTAATTAAAGGCCGAAGTGGCTAAAACATGTGCTAAACAATTATCTGATCTAGGAATAAAACTGATCGAAACATAATCAAAGGAAACCATCTGGTTTCTGCAGGTATCAATGGCATAGCCAAGGTATGAACGAGGTGTATCCTTCGCAAGTGATAAATATTGTTGTAGTGACAGATAGTCTGTTAGGAGGTCGATCTACCGATCTCTCCCCACGATCCCATAGCCAATATAAAACTTCTTTACATGCAATTGCTTCTGCCATAAGAGGGGAGAAGCAGTCTATCAATGGCGCCTGTAAAGCTGAGATATACGACCCCTGTTCGTCTAGGAGGATTGCCCCTACAATGGCTTTATTCGTGGTATGGAAATACGCCGCATCAAAATAACATCTGTTCCGTATGCTTCCATGGGCTACAAGTGAGGAAGTGGCCGTGTGACTTGCGGCAGTGACGGCAGCAGGCTGGCCGTCCGTCCCTTGGAGATGTTCGGTGGTTGCCGTGGGAAATCCACACCGAGCCGGTTGCGGTTGCGTGCGGTCCGGGTGTGCAAGTCGCTATGCCCGGATCGCTGTGGTTACAGTTGCAATTATCTTCCGTGGTCTGGGTAAGCATGCATCCCATACAGCCCCATTCCTCGCTCGCCATATATAATATAATAGGCCCACTGCATAAATAATTCCATCAACATCTAGAATATTTAATACTTCATTAAACCAAACATGGAAAATATCTGTGACAGTATTGGGAATTGGAAGGTGAGATTGTGCCCAAATGTTCATTGTATAATCACATCTGACCAAAGAGTGCATAGTATCCTCATGCATAATCCCACACATAGCACATGTTGGGTCAATTTCCACTCTCTTTATAATCAGGTTCCTTGTAGTGGGTAATATATTATTCAAGGCTCTCCATAAAAATGTTTTCCATCTTGGGGGTACTTTGAGCTTCCATAATTTGGGCCATTTATCAAACATCCCTGTTGTTTGAACATAATTACCCACTATTTGTCTGTAACCACTTTTAACCGAGTATTCACCTGTTATATCTCCATACCAATATCACATATCCTCATGATCCGGTGACACAGGTATTTTCAATATTCATGTCACATCCTCCGTAATAAAAATATCAGTTAAAATGTCATGATCCCATGAACCCGTTTCTTGATCCATTAACCCCATAACAGTTGCCTGCGCCAAGTGTGGTGGTTTTTCAGTTATTATCTTCGCATTATTCTCATCCTGAAGCCATGGATGATCCCATATAAGAGTTGCCTTTCCATCCCCAATCCTGCGCATAACTCCTCCACAAATTACTTCCTGTGCAGCCATAATACTACGCCAGCAGAAACTTGGGTTATTCCCTATACAAGCATCAAAGAATGACCCTTTTGGATAGTACCTGGCTTTAAATATTCTGGATACTAGCGATTCAGGTTTCGTGAGTAAACGCCAGGCCTGTTTCCCCAACATAGCTAAATTAAAGGCATGTAACTCCTTAAAGCCCAATCCCCTATATTTCTTAGGGATACATAATTTATCCCATGCCTTCCAATGGATGCCCTGGTCATCTTTAGATCTCCACCAGTAACGATTCATAGTTCTCTCAATAGCTGTGCAAATATTCATAGGTAATAAAAAGACACTCATAGAAAAGGTGGGCATAGATTGTGCCACACTTTTCAATAAGACCTCCTTACCTGCCTGTGAAAGCAACTTCTTATTCCATGACCCAATTCGTTGTCTAATCTTGTCATCAATATATGAGAAAACTGCTCTCTTATTCCTGCCCACAAATGATGGGAGTCCTAAATACTTCCCAAAATTCGGAGCCTGCACCACTCCCAAGGTACTGGCAACCTCCTCTCTGTCATCATCCCGCGTGTTCTTACTATAGCAAATACTTGATTTATAGTAATTCACTGCTTGCCCAGACATTTCCTCATACACCGATAAACACTGTTTTACCACACCAGCCTCCTGTGCAGTTGCTCTAAAAAAGAGTAAACTGTCATCTGCAAAAAATAGGTGGGATACAGGGGGGCTCCCCTAGCTACTCTGCAACCATGTAGATCTCCCCTCGACTGTGCCTGTTGTAACAGCAATGAAAGTCCCTCAGCACAAATAATAAAGAGATAAGGTGACAGAGGATCAACCTGCCTCAATCCTCGAGTTGGACTGATCTGCTCACTTCGTGTCCCACCAACCTGTATACTATATGAGACTGAGGTTACACATAGCATTATCAACTCCACCCACCTTTCATCAAAACCCAATGCTAGCATCATATTACGTAAGAAGGGTCATTCCATCCGATCATAGGCTTTCGCCATATCCAGTTTCAAAGCCCCTCATCCTGTGATTCCACATTATTTTCTATTTAAAAAATGACCAACCTCGGCAGCAATCAAAATATTATCTGTTATTAATCTGTCAGATATAAAAGCGCTTTGGGTGTCAGATATAAAAGCGCTTTGGGTGTCAGATATAATATCCCCCATAAGTGGTTTCATTCTGGCAGCTATAACCTTAGCCATAATCCTGTATATCACATTACTCAGCGCTATCGGTCTATAATCTGAAACCACCTCAGGGGATTTCTTTTTGGGGATTAATATGATATTCGTACCATTTACGCTAGCAGGAAACGAGCGAGTATTAAGACAATTCACAATATAGGTCGACACATCACCACCCACTACATCCCAAAAATGCTGGTAGAACCCCGGATTCATTCCATCCGGTCCTGGTGCTTTGTCAGGAAACATGGAAAATAGAGCACTCCTAACCTCACTAGCATCAAAGGGCCGCAAGAGCAACTCATTTTGTACCTGTGTTACACGAGAGCCTATATTTCCAAAGAATTCCCCATTATCACTTGGAGAACCGGAGGTAAAGATATTCTTATAATAGTTGAAGATAATATTCCTCATGGTTTCACCCTCAACCCAATCCCCACTATCATTCATAATTTTAACAATAGTATTCTTTTTCTTGCGATGAGATGCATACCTGTGGTAATATTTTGTGTTAGCATCCGCGTTCTTAAGCCAATGCTGTTTGGCTCTCTGCCTCCAGTATGTATCTTCCTGGGCTTCAATACGACTCAGGCACTCCTCTAATCGTTGGAACTCAGCTAATGAGACTGGGTCATTACACCCCCTCAGACGTAATTGCTCCTTCCGTAGGTTCCTCATTCGTTCACCAAACTTATGAAAACGCTCTCCTCCCCAGCGCGTTAAACGATTTCCACAAAGAGAGATACACTCCTGCAACCCCCTTCCTTCACCTTCATTCCATGCCTTCTCCACCACATCTCTACATCCTTCGTCATGCAGCCATGCCATCTCAAAACGAAACCCTCTTTTCAAACCACCCGTCATTTCTCGAAGATTCAGAATCCCAAGGAAAAGAACAGAATGATCCGATTTTCGGGTTAATATATTCTGCACACTAGCATCTGGCACGTTCTCACGCCAACTCTGGTTAGCCAAAACTTTGTCTAACCTTTCCTCTATCCAATTCGGTGTGCCCTTCCATTTTTCCCAAGTAAACGGATATCCCGTCATTGGCATCTACGCTAAACCACACTCCTCTATAGTCTCACCAAACCCATGCAATAAACTCTCAGGATGAGGGTTTCCACCTCGCTTCTCAGATTGAAATAGTAAGTCATTAAAGTCTCCAATCATCACCTATGGTAGATTTGATCTGCCAGCTAAAGTACGAATAAGGTCCCAAGAGTCTCTCCGTTGACCCCTCTGTGAAAAGCCATAAAAACCCGTCATTCTCCATTTTTCAAACCCCGGTATACTCACTTCAACATCCACATAGTTTGTGGAATAACTCATCAATCTTGATGTATTATTCGCTCCCCACAATAGAGCCAAACCACCACTCAAACCAGAATTGTCAATACAAAAAAGTCCATCAAAACCAAGTTTAACCCGAAGTCGTTCAGCATGATATCGGCTAACCTTGGTTTCTATGAGAAATACAAAGTCGGGTTTCCTACAGGACACCATGTCCTCAATCTCGCGAACTGTCTGTGGATTACCCAAGCCACGACAGTTCCAACTTAAGGTACTCATTGGGACTGGCGGACATGTTCCACAGGTCCCGCCATCAACAAAGAATCAGAATCAACAACCATATTCCCATTCAAAGCACTCACCTCCCCAACATCCGTCCTTCGTCTTTTCGGATCCACCCGAACTCCCTCCTCCTCTCCAACAACTCCCTCACCGCCCATCCCACCCACACCCTCAATTCCCGACTCCATCCCAGATATCGCAGCCCTGCCAACCTCCACCCGAGACTGCCCATCCCCTCCAACCCCGACTCCCACTGCCAATCTCCCGCCATCACCCCCATAACCAATCTCACGCCGCCTCTCCTGCCCCAATTGAAACCATTTTTCCCCCAACAATTTCGCTGGACTAGAACCCCCCGTCCTCATTGACACGCCAAACGGGTATTGTTTCGGCTTCAACGACGAACGGCGAGCTTGCAAGTAAAACTTATCCGTGTGGCCCATTCTCCCACAAAAAAAGCAAAACATGTGGAGGCGCTCATACTTAAAATTAATCCATGTCCACGATCCATCCCTTAGAATCATCTTCATCCGCCGTTTTAAGGGATTCGAGATATCATGGGTGATTCTAATTCTGTAGAAGGAAGTCCATTGCCTCTCAAAAATTCGTTCATCATAACGTAAAAAGACCCCAACATAGTCCCCAATTCTCTCCAAAACCTTCACCGTGCGGTATCCCAGGGGGATATCCGAAACCTGAACCCATAAGTCCACAGAATTTAGACTAACCTGTAGTGGATCTTCACCATCGTTCAGGACTTGGCATAGTAGCGTCGCATTCTCAAACGCCCAAGGTCCCTCATCCATAACACGCCTCATGTCCGGTTCATCGAAGAAGGTGAACAAGAACAAATTGGGTTGCACATCCGTTATCTCAATACCCATGAGTGGTTTCCAAGCCGATGCCATAACACGCTTCATCACCTCGGTTTTGAGGATTCGGTCCGTTAAAAAACGGCCAACAATGGTCCAAGTTTGCTTCGACGCCGGTAGGGCTTGGTCGCCGAGAACTTCATCTTCGAATCGGACTCCTTGTTCCTCGTCGTCTAGCGTGATGTCTGCAGTATGCGCTATTATCTCATGGACGTCCATTGAAAACAGATCAAGCAGCTTCAATGGTGTTATTGTCGCATGCACGTAGGCCTAACCCTAGATCGCAGGGGGGGGAAGTAGAAAACCCTAGGTCGCAGGGAGAGAAAAATTTTCGTAACAAACCAGTAGAGAGAGATTGAACTCTCTATGTATTAGTGTGGGTTCTAAATGAACTAAAATTTAGACAGGAGAGCTGAATATACATTAAACCTCTTTTTCAAATTTTATATGTAGTTGAAGAAACTATGGCTATAAACTAAATAAACTTGAAATTGCAAACTTGTTTCAATTAAAATATTAGAGTGTTTTAATTTGTACAATTCTAAAGTGTGTGCTTAATTAAAAGTTTTAAGAGAAAATTAAGAACAAATATCAACCTTATATTTGAAAAAATCGCATGATACTAAATAAATAAAAAAAATGTAGCGATATATATATTTGTAATTATCGTCAATTCTATGCAACTTTTTATACTATATATAGTATACTTCTCAGTATAATTATTCCAAAATGCATATTATATTGTTAAAAAGTGTTGATTAAAACTTAAATGTACAATCTATAATATTAAAAATTGAACTTTACACAATGTGAAGTGTAGTGCACTTAAGGTGGAAGGAATTATAAACTAAAGGCAATTGCTCGGCGATACAATTTTTCAAAGGACTATCATAGGAGACTTAGGCAATTTATCATGATCAATGAACCATTATTTGCGGTTAATAATCCATGAAAGTTATCCATTACTTCTAATTTGCTCATGGTAAATTAATATGGTATCACCTTATGCTGATGATACCGCAATTGGACTACTCACAACATGAACCCCATCACTCCATGAGTACCCACCAAAGGCAAATCCATTTCTCTTTCCAACACCGTTAGTTCTGACGGTTACGTTGAAACTTTGCTTTTCTCCCTGTTGGCTAAACTTTAAGATCGTTGGAGAAATAGCGACGACATATCCTGGTGGGGGTGCCAACTTGACAACATAAGTTGAGTTGCCTTTTCCAACGTTGGTGACTGTTCTTTTAACTGTTACCGATCCTTGGAGGTTCGCTATTGATAATGATGGATAGTTAAGGTTACTTGCTGAGGGTGTGTTTTTGGGGCACTTGAAAGAAGAATCGAGAGTGACTCCCGTATTGCAAAGGTAGAGAAGATAGTCATTGTAAGTTGTATCATAGACTAGTCCAGGATCCGCTGCTTTGGACGGCAAAATATGCCCTACTCCATATTCAAACGGTGTAGCTAAATATCCTGTTGAGTTCACTATTGGTGCCCCTAACACATTGTTAGTAGTTGCTGCATCCAATAATAATAATAATAATAAAGATAATTAGTATAAACATATGCAAAAATTTATATGGAGCATCTCACGGATCATTGTTTATGAGACGGATCGAGTTGTAAACAATTGGGTGTGTTAGTATCACAATTTAAGTTATAAATATTACAATATTTATCATTAGTAACAATCAATTTTTACCCTAATTATAGTATCACAATTTCACATATAAGTATTACAATAAGTAACGATTTATTTTTAATTTTGATATTAAATTTTCTACAATATAAGTATTACAATTTCTTTCATAAGTAATACTTCACATATAAGTATTACAATATTTACCATAGAATTATTATTAAGTATCACACTTCCCATTATTAATTATAATTAAGTATCACACTTCCCGTTGTTGTTGTTGTTGTTATTATTATTATTATTATTATTATTAGGAAAATTGTAATTTATACCCCTCCATAATATGTAAATTATCAATGTAACCCCTATCGTATGGGAGGGGTAATATATTTACCACTTTGAAAAATGAGGGGTAACATTTACACTACGGGAGGGCACTATATGTATCATTTTGAAAATTGAGGTGCAACAATTACACCACTAATAATTTAGGGGTGACATTGATAATTGGTATATTATAGAGGGGCATAAATTACAAATTTCCCTTAATAATAATCGTTTTTACCCTAAATAGTAGTACAATTTCACATATAAATATTATAACAAGTAAGAATTTATTTATTTCAAATGGGTATTAAATTTTATGTAATAAGCATTTTAATTTCTATCATAATAACAAACAATTATTCTAGATTCCACTCCGGATTAAGATCCGTGAGACGTTCTCACGCAATTGTTACTCATAGAATATATATATATATATATATATATATATATATATATATATAGAATAAAGTTCAAATGCGACGGTCTTCCCGTGCGGCGGTGTAGCGGAATTTCAGAATACACCAACAGTGTTAACAATATGCACTAACAGTGTTAGAAAAACACACCACAATGAAATGCAATAAAACATCACAGAATACACAACAGACTCAAAAAAATACACCATATAACTCACCACCCCCAATGGTGTATTTCTGAACCGTGTAGGTGTTTTTCTCACACCTAATGGTGTGTGTTTGGTGATGCAGGGCTCTGTTTACTCTATTTTTTGTGGTGTATTTTCCTAACGTTGATGGTGCATATTTGTTGAACTATTGGTGTTGCCACACCGTAAAAAATCGCCGTACCGTAAGACACTGCCGCACCTGAACTCGCCTATATATATATATATATATATATATATATATATATAAATGAGAATAGAAAATTACATACCTGTTGTCATTAGGGCCGATCTTATGGCAGCACTGCTCCAATCGGGATGAATGGCCTTAAGAAGGGCAGCTACGGCAGAAACGTGTGGGCAAGACATTGAAGTTCCAGATACTATGTTGTACTTTACCACTCGGCGATCAAATGGGTATTTTGTCGGAGAAGACGCCTCACTCCATGCTGCTAATATGTTAAGTCCCGGAGCGGTAATGTCCGGCTGCAACCCACCAAATAAAGTATTCATCATTGCCAGATCTAAGCTAAAGTTGTGGCAATAAAAAATTGTTAGGTGGAGACCGATAAAAGACCAAATTCAGTAATGAGTGGTTAGAGAATTGTTGGGTGAGACAAGCAAATGGTCAAGTCCAGCACCATGTCTCTTGAAATTACTAGTTATAGTTTTTGGCCTAATGATAAAAATGCTTGATCTTAAGAAGTGGTATCAGGTCACATGTTTGAGTTCTAGCAAGAGAAACTATACCTTGAGAATGTTTTGTTCAATGATGTTGGGACCTACGGAGGTGAAAGGAGCCATGACCGGTGCTGGCATGGTCCCGAGAACAGTTTCTCCCGGGAGAAGAGTTGCCATCGGATTCTCATCGTTACTAATGTATTTGAGGATTGCAATTAAACCGTAACTGAAAACAACAGTTGTGGGATGCAGAAAAGTATTAACTTGTATTTCGTTATATTGACGTCCTAGTATGGTAGCAGCGCCGCCAGCTCTTTGTACCTCTTGC